GAAACCGACAGCAAAATTTAAAAAAAAAAAAAATCATTCATCTACTCTCCTACTAAAACAAACTCATATTTGTATCTAGGGTTGCAAACGAGTTGAGTCGAGTTAGAGCTAGGAATTGTTCGAGTCAAACTCGACTTCCAGATACCGAGCTCGAGCTTGAGCTCAAGCTTGACTCGTTTCACTGTCGAGCGGCTCGCCGAGCTCAATCAGAGCTCAAAATGTCGTCACGTACTCGCGTCTGCTGCGTGCCAACATCCATCATCGTAGCGTCCGCTATCATCCCGAGATGTGTCATCGCCGCCGCGTTCACTGTCGAGGTTGTGTCCGTCGTCGTCATCATTATCCCGCGGTTCGTTGTCACGTTCGTTGTCGAGGTCACATCCTTCGTCGTCGTCGCGTTCATTGTCGAGGTCGCGTCCGTCGTCGCGTTCGCCGTCGAGCTCAATCAGAGCTCAAAATGTCTTCGTCTCCATTGTCGAGCTGAGGTCCACCATCGTCACAATCGCTGTCATCCTAGTTGAGCTACTCGTTGAGGCGAGGAGTCGGGTCCAACGCCTGTTCGAGCTTGAAATTATGTTCGAGCTCAACTCGCAATTACGACTCGTCGAGCTTGTTATCGAGTCGAGTCCGAGGCCGGCTCGACTCGGTTGCTCCCCTATTTATATCTCATCATTTTATATTTTACTTACATTATTTAATTAATACAATTTATATATTATGTTTGCATTTTAGTGATCAATAGAAAGAAAACCATATTTCAAATAACTCAGGTGCCTTGCCCTTAGTCTAAGGCTTCATTTTGGATGGCATTCTTAATATTTCTTAAAGCAATTTTTAAGTATAAAATTTTTAATTTTTATACTAAAAAGTAAAACTATTTTAAGAAGCAATAAAAAAGACATCCCAAACGATGCTTAAGGCTTTACTTTGGACGATTTTCTTAGTGCTTTGTGAAGCTGTTGTAGATAAAGTAATTTTTTAAAACAGTTGCAAAAGATAGCTTCCAAGTACAAAAAATTTATAAAAGCAACGAAAAAATAATAGTTTTTTTTTTCTTTTTTTTTGGGGAAATTTCGGGGCCTTAGCCCATTGAATTACTATAAAGAAAATTACAAGTAAAGTAAGAAAAGTCCACTTAAGCAAAAACAAAAAGTGCTAAGGGAGGAGAACCCAAAAATTACAACCCAATGAACTATGAAAGAAAATTAGGGCCAAAAATGTAGAAATTCAAAAAAAGTTGGACTCAGGCTGTAGCAAAGGAGCCGCCAAAATTCATCAAAGATGTTCAAGTGATCCCCTGGTTGCCAAGAAGACCGTCCGAGGGGAATGCTGCAGCAGTCATCATCGTCTAGGCAAAAATCTTCTGATCATTCTCGGGACAGCACGGTTCAACCCCTCTCAAAACATCACAAAAGCCAGCCCCAAACTGCTTGGGCAGGCCATCCAAGGATAGAAGAATCATCCCAGAGCTCAGGCCAAAATACAGAAAAACGAATATACACAGAGAACCGGTCAAGAAGAAGAGCAAGCAGCCCGAATTAGTCCAGCAAATAAGCAAAGTTTTCTCCATTTTTCTACTTTCCCAATTTTAACCGAATGGCTTGTTTGATCTTTTTGGCCACAGTAATCTTGCAATCCAAAATGTTAAATCCACTCAATGATATATCTTATACATATTTGTAACTTTAAAAAAAAAAACTCCTTTTAGATCATTTACATACAAATAAAGGGGGATAATAAAATTCTTATCAAACAAAAATATTGAGGGGATTAATCACATATGTTGCGTCTAATATCTCTCTTTTGATTAACATTATTTTGTTTGAAATGATTTTATTAAATATATAATTAGTGGGCCTTTGATGCTCAGATGGACAAATATCTTTATTCTTAGAGATGGACACGAAACGAGCATATATGTGAAAATGTTGGAGTATCTCCGGTGACAGATAAGATTTGTGAGAGACGCTTTTAATTAGATGGTCTGGTCACATAAAACGGCGGCCTTCTTATGACCTGGTTAGGAGAGTAGATGTATTAGATTTGGCTATGTTAAAAAAGGTAGAGTTAGATCTAAAAAGAATTGATTAGAAAATATTAGAAATGATTTTTCTTTATTTGATTTAATAGAGAATTTAAGTTTTAACATTATACAATGGAGAAAAAAGATTTATGTAACTAACCCTATGTTGTAATGGTTGTAGGATAAAGGTTTGATATTGTTGTTGTTGTGGGTCCTTGCATATTAATAAAAGAAATTTTTTTTAGAAAAAATAAATTGTTAGGCCAAAATACTCTCTTAAAACTTTATTTCTTTATTAATTAAGTTACCATCCTTCAATAGGATAGATTAAGGAATTAATTAGGATTAGGATGATCTCACATTATTACACATAAATTGCCTGGAGTGTCAGCAACGTTAAGCTGACTCTACCTGTGCTCATAATAAATTCATATAAAAAGTTTTTTTTTTGTCACCAATATTATGACTGCTTTAAATTTCTTTCTCATTATTAGTTTTATTTTGATCATGTCATTATATAATCCTTAAACTTTTCCTTAATTATCACATAATATTATTTAGGCGCCTGAAGCTGATTTTGGATTTCGCACTTAACATTTTCTGATGATACCATCTTGCAATCTAAACCTATGAGAGGCATAAATATAGAAAAAAAATAATAATATGCTACATAGAATACATATACAATGTTACATGCTACCATCAACATGCGCCTCCTAATTAGTTGAAGGAGGCTAGGGATTGAATGTAAAAAACTTGAATTTTTGAAAATTAAGAATTTAAATTTATGTTTGAACTGAAGTGCAATGGTGGTAATCCTTTGAGCACTACGGCGTTAGGTTTAGAGCACTTTTTTTTTTTCACTACTTGTAAACAATTATAATATTTTTTTCTAGTGAAGGAGGATAGAGTAATATGAATTTTTGGACTATGATTTGCTTTGCCGCTTTATAAAAATTGTTCAGATTGAAGTACATGATTTTAATCCCATATATGTTTTTGAAATATTTTGATTTTTACCACTGAGTTCTCCTCAAAATTGATTTTATTGGATTTTTTATCGCTTTATTGAACTTTTACCGCACAACTTTTTATATGTTGTCATATGGATTATCTGAAATATTTTGAGTGCAAATTCATGAATTTTAGTGAGTAGAATAAAAGTTATTGAATTTTATATGATTTACAATATATTAAAATTGGATTTTTTTTTATTTAAGCATATTGTTAATATAACCATTGAGAATGAAAATATATATGCAATTGGGTAATATATGTTTGTTATTGCTTTTATTGTAATGTGTGTAAAAGATAAGTAAAGATTGGTTGACCTATTGGTTGAAAATTGTTTAACTTGTACATGAAGATAAGCCGACGGGTGCTTTCTTTAAATACTATTTTTGGTTGTTGTATTCATGTGATGCAATGATATAACGATTAGGAGTTATTAGTACTGTGCCGACAGGCAAATATTGTTGACTTTGTTTACTGAGCGAACAGTTACTGATTATCAACTACCAAAAAATATTATGATAGTCAATACTTCTTACTTGTTTGTGTATGACCACTAAAATATATGTTATATATTCATTATTATTATACAACTTTAATGATACCGTATTAATTTACTGTCACAATATATATTTGTTGTTATTGTATTGCTTTACTTTTACTACCACCGATTTTACTAACAACACTGTACTAATATTGTTACTAATATGTATATCGATACTATTTGATACTATTACTAATTCATTGTACTAATATTGAGCATGTAATATACTAAGCATGTGATTAAGATACCGATTTGATAGGGATATAAAATAATTGGATAACATCTATACATCATTATATGATTTTATTACATTGATTTGATTTCGATGGTCTTTACCGATGCTCTAATTTAATGATTTATATGAGTTCTCTACTTATTCATAATACTGATATGACGACTACTTTAGTGATTGACAACCGTATTGATTTACTGATTTCTTTATTGTAGTGCTTTACTAGATTTTATACCACATCACTTTGTTATTTACATATTCTATTGTTACTTCATGTGAGCTTTACTATTAATGTATAGATTTATGATAATATTTATTATTATTATGATTTGATTATTGGCATGCATATTTCTCATTTGTTGTGTTTTGAGTTCAGTTGTAGGATTTTGTTACTTGCTGGACTCTTGAGTTTATTATATGTTATTAAATGATTTCAGGTCAAGACAATTGAGCATGAGTAAGAGATTGACCAGATTCTTTCAGGTTCAGTTTCTAGTTATTTTAGTTCTTTTTTATACTCAAGATAGATTAGTTATAATATATATGATTATATAAATTCTGAGTAGTGTATATTAATTTTAGATAAATGAATATATATATATATATATATATATATATATAAATATATATATATATACGAAATGAGTGACCTCTCGTCGTCATCAAATGAGGTGAAGGAAGAATTTTATCTATCTGTGTGACTTTCAATTTGACTCGTTCATGGAAGCCAAGAAGCTTTAAACTACTCATTCGAAACCATACCTTTGTGAGATGAAAAAGAGAAAAGCAAACCGTAGAATGGTTTAAAGAGTGAAATAATAAATAATTATAGAATTAATTAAATATTAAATAATAATTAAATTATTAATTAATAAATTATCAATTTAATTAGTTAATAGTAGAATATTTAAATAACTAGTTAAATAATTAATATTATACTAAGTAAATAAAAATATAGAAGGTGAGTTTACTTTAATTAGCTCAAAAGAAAAAGAAAATGTTTATCTAAAATTAAAATGATATTAACTATGACAACCGAAAACGAAGTGCACAATGCACAGAGGTCGCTGTAGAAACAAAAATCGGAGCGAATCCAACCCCCCACGCCTACGCCACCCCCTTCTTATTTCCTTGTCTGAAGAGAAACCAATTCCTTCTACAATCATCACTATTCTCATTAGCGTTCTCCCATCCATGGAGCCAATCAAAAACTTCTACGAATCTGATAGCGACGAATCGTCCACCCTTTCCCTCCGCGACCTTCCACTCCACAGCAATGGCGAAGCCTCCCAAACCCACAGACCCTTCTCCCCTTCACCTGACCTTTTCGATTTCTCCTTCCCCCTTCCGCCAGCCACTAAGGAAAGCAACACCTCCATGTCCGATGTCTTCCTCCATGGACAGCTCCTTCCCAAAAACTCCGCTACAACGCCAAAGCTCCCACCTTTCGTCCACCGTCGAGCAGATTCTTTAGACGGGAACGACGGTGAAGCGCATGCTGTCGATTACCCGCCGCTGAGGAGGGCTTGTTCAGACCCGAGGCCGCCTGCAGGGAGGTGGAAAAAGGGGCATTTTTTTGCGCTCGTGCCGGTGAAGTTTCCGGCGGAGATGGAGATGAGGGATATGAGGACCAGGCAGAGGCGGCAGGGGCCACCGGAGTTGGTTGAGTGCTGTGGCCGGAGGAGTTGCTGGAGTATTCTCCGAGCGATGAGTTGCAAGGCAGCGGAGAGTACCACCGTTGCGCCACTCGTCGCCGCCGGGCGAGCTCCGGGAGCTTCTACTTGCAGGGGCATTTTCAGAAGGTGAGGATGCAGTCTTAAGAATAATACTATATTTCTCTTAATAAATTTAGAGTTAACGATATAACAAGATATTTAAAATTAATAGTTTTTAAAAATTCACAATGCAAATCACCATTTTTATTTCAATAAAACATTATATATTTAGATAAGAAATCTTATATTTTATGTAAAGTGATTAAAAATTAAAACATTAAAATTTTATTAATAATCTTATTTCTCATAAAATATTTATTTAAAAATCTATATCTTATAATTTTATATCCCTTGTAAAAAGATTTATATTTGAATACAATTACAGATTTTGTAATAAGATATCTTATCTCCAGCTGTCCTTGCATACCACAACAATAAGGCGTTCATTTGGATCGAAAATGGAACATACAGCGAGTACTAAAGGTCCATTAAGATCGTCGTCACATCGAAAGGCCAACAAGCAGTGAAAAGATTCGTGATAGATTAGTCAAGGAGATATTTGTAATTGAAGATCACGAGAAATTATTTTGTAAAACATAGAGCCGCGGTACCGAGTGGTACGAAGTACAAGGTAATTTGGCGCATTCTGATTGATCTACGGATGATGTTGGGCATCCGCATGGAATAATTTTTCGAAGATCACACACACAACATATTTGTGCTTATATACAAATCATTCCCCAAAAAGATGGCATGCCTCATTGTCCTCCACCAGTCTGGAGATCACACAGGAAATGTATTAGTACGAATCTTCCTAAGGAGATGCGTTCAAAAATTAGTCGTGACGTTAGAAAACCTGAGTTGCTTGACAATTTGATAGTTCGAACTTCGAAACCTCATGAACAGAACATATCAACAAGGAAAAGACTCTGTGAGCATCTATTAATCTTTGTTGTTTATATTTATTTCACTCTGATGATGCATATTTCAACATCTTCATCTCATGATGAAGTTCCTGGAGCATCCAATCAATGGAGTCAAACTCGATATGAAGCTTATCCCGTGACACAAACACATGAACCTTATTGCCAATGTCGATCCAACTGCATCCCGGTTGCTTCTTCAATCCTCTCTGTGTCATCTCAGATCTAATTTCTGCAACTTCCTTCCATTCTCCAGAAGCGGCATGGATATTTGACATCGACAAATAAGCCCCCGTATTGTAAGGATCTGCTTTCAATAGCTTCCTTCCTGCCAATTTTCCAAGACTTGCATTACTGTGAAAGTTACACCCTCCAAGTAGAGCACCCCAGACAAAAGCCGAAGGGGTCTCAATATTAAGCAAAGAAACCTCGTTTAATCTACCTGCTCGGCTACAGAGATCCGCTAAACAAGCATAGTGATCATCTCTCACTTCAATGGAGCCATCCTTTACTAAAGAGTCAAAAAGTTTCAGTCCCTCGGCCAATAAGCCTGAGTGGCTGCACGCAGAAAGCAATGCAATGTAAGTTACATCATTAGGCTTCAAACCTCTATTACTCATATCCTCAAACAAATGAATCGCTTCTTCACCATAGCCATGATTTGCATATGCAGCCACCATCCCATTCCAATTTACTAAGTCCTTTTGGTCTGAGATATCAAATAATTTTCGGGCCGTTCCAATATCACCACACTTTGAGTACATGCTCATCAGAGCAGATTCCACAAACGGAGAGAATTGAAACTTGGTTTTACTTATGATCTGATGGACTTGCAAGCCTTCGATATGAGCTGCAATGCTGCTGATGGCATTAAGAACACTTAGGTAGGTGCCCTCGTTAGGTCTGATTCCAACAGATAACATTTCCAAGAAGGTTTTCAGCGCCAATTCATTCTCCCCTTCTTGTGCGTATCCTGCTATTATTGTAGTCCATGATACAACGTTCTTTACATGCATTTCATCAAACAGTTTGCGGCCGTGCTTCAAGTTCCTGTTCTGTATAAACCCAGTGATCATTGTGTTCCAGGAAGCGATGTTCCTCTCGGGCATAGCTTCAAAAAGGTGCAGAGCCTGGTCAATTCTCTGATTCTGCATGTAGCCTGAAATCATGGCATTCCAAGATACCACGTTTCTTTGAGGCATATTGTCAAAAACCTCCCGGGCCTCATCAACTCTGCCATTCTGTGACAACCCAGACACAATTGCTGTCCATGAAACGACATCTCTCTGAGTCATCTGAAAGAATAGCCTGCAGGCTTCATCAATTCTGCCGGACTGAGCAAATGCAGTTATAATCGTGTTCCAAGATACAATATTTCTTACAGGCATTTCATCAAACAACTCAAGAGCCTTATCCACCATTCCATTTTCAGCGTAAGCAAAAACCATAGTGTTCCACGAGACGACGTTCTTCTCAGGCATACGGGCAAAAAGGTCCTCAGCATCGCGCAAATGACCTGCACGCGCATAGCCGGAGAGGAGGGCGGTCCAGGTGACAACGTCACGGAGAGCATCGGAACGGTTAAAGAGAAGCTCGGCATCGCGGATCCGTCCTGCATGGGCGTAGGCGGCGATAAGGGCGGTCCAGGATGTAAGATCTCGTTGGGGACTTTCGTCGAATAGTTGGCGGGCTTCGGAGATGCGGCCTTGTCGGCTGAGGCGCGTGATGAGGATGTTTCCATGGGAGATTATGGCGGCCGCAGTGGCCGTGGACGAGAAGGATCGGACTGCAGCGGAGGCAAGGAGGCGGGTGATGGCCGAGTGCATCGACTGGACTCTGGAGAGGAGGAATTCAGCGGAATTCGCATTGAGAACGGGAAGAAAAAGTATATACGTTGGGTTAATTGGATAAAGTTTGCAGTTGGCATGTTTGTGAAAAATGTATAATAGTTTCAGACTTCTATAATCAAGATAATCATATATTTTATTTCATAAATAAAAATAATTAATTCTAATTTGTTATAAAAAATAGTTATAGTTAGTAATTGTTATTGAATGCTAACATTACTGTGAATTTTATGAAAAACTCTAATAATATTTTGCTTCTTGCTTTTGGGGATTGCAAATTCACTTTGCTTCTTATGTTGGAATTGTTGCATTTTATTTTTTTTTTTTGTTAGGGATATTTTTATATTTCTATTGCTAACCTAACTATGTAACAATTTCACAATCAAATTTATTAAAAGTTGTAGTCATCTCAAACATACTAAAAATATTTTTACAGTATATTATTGAAAAGAAATGTTGTTTTGTGTTGAATTTACATATTTTATCTTGTCATGCTTGCAATAATTGATTTTGATTAAAGATATATCTAATATTAATAAATCATAATAACAAAATAGGAATGTTATTTACCCACAATTATGAAACCCTTTAAGTAAAATAAGTTAAACTCTTAAGCATTGAGATGCCTTTTGGAATAATGGTTGGAACTTCGTTAAGAAACTCTGCAATTAAGTGTATTTATCACAAAAAAATTCCTAGGATTGGTGACCTATTGATAAGTTAAACCAATAGGACAAAATTGTAGGGTCCTTAGACTAAAATGGATAATATCTCAATAGTTAAGAATTTGAGTTGTTACAAATAGTATCAGAGCAATACACCAACAAGAAGATATGAACTAAGTGTCATACAAGACAAAGCGCTACGCCATGGGAGCAACCTCTTGAACCCTATATGGGATAAAGTGCTATGTGGTGGGAGTCACCACTTAAACTTGTAGGGACCACCTCTAGATTCTTATTTATCTGGTGGATAATTATGGGATAAAGATGCTGATAATGATATTATTTACTTAAGTGGAGGAGGTTGTAAAACCCCTTAAGTTAAACTCTTAAACAACAAGGGGTCTTTCAGTATAAAAGCATGCTCATCCCCAAGAGCTTTTTAAAAAGTATGCTATTTACCCACTATAATGGTGTAACATTGAATTATTTTTATTTATATAATTAAATATATTGTTTATATATTCGTAAAATTATCACACAAATATCAAATTTAACAATCACATTTTCTATTTTTTGTTCTCAAAATCTCATCAAATTCTCAAAGAATTCCTTGGCAAACTAATATATGAATTTGCTAGTTGAAAGTTTTCAATTGAGTGTTTTGAGTGGCTATAAGCAAGTTAGTTCATACAATGATCGACTTGACTTATATTTATATGTTTAAATAATTATGTTAATTTGAATACAATTTAATTTATTGATCAACAAGCCTTAACACTAACTAGTTTTTCATTTATGTTTGTTATTTAATTTAATAAGTATCTTGTCAAGAATTTGATAGAATGCTTATATTAATGATCATTTAATTACTTATTTAATAACTTGCTTTATGTTTTTTATAATTTTTTGTTCCATTTAGCTTAATTAAGGCAAATTTACAGACATATCACATACACTAGACTCAAACCTAAGACCACTTGGATGCTAATCAAACTTCCCAACCAACAGACCAAGATGAATTGCGTATGCTATTGGTATTTCAAAAATATAAATATAATAAATGTTATATTACTAGGGGTATGGCCCTCTCGAATTTTTTTTAAGAGCAGAATATAGGCTTATTTGGTAAGTATGATAGGGCATGTCCAACAAAATTGCAAACTTTTGTTTGAAGCTAGCTACCGTGAGTCTCCACTCAAACACCGAAAATAATCACACTTTGTAACTGTAAACAGTGTAACAATAATATTTACATAGCAGTATTCACAAAAAACCATTTTTTTGATGAAAATGAAGATGAGAAAAATCTTACATGGAATATTTTTTTTTTTAAATGTTACAAATAAAATTCGGTTGGATATGTGTTACTATTTGCTATGATTATTATTTAATTTTGAAGTTAAAATGAGAGTTCGGTTGGAGATACCTTTAGGCTTTAGGATTAGGGGTGTCAATTCGGGTCAACGGGCCGGGTTCGGATTGAACCCGACTTGACCCGACCATAAACGGGTTGACTAACCCGACCCGGTTTTGCAAACGGGTCAGGTTTGTCAACCTGGACCCGACCCGTGCGGGTTACCGGGTTGACATGACCCGACTCGCGAACATCTTCGGAGCGCCAGTGCCAAGCGAAGCAGAGGGTCGTAGGCTGAGGAGCAAACGCGGGATACTTGGACGTGGACGCGGGATGCCTGGACCGTTGGACGCGAGAAGCCTGGACGGGCCAGAGGGCTGAACGCGAACGCGGACGCCGGATGTGAGACGCCCTGACAGGACGTGGGAAGCGTCGAGCAGCAGACGTGGGACACCTGGACTCGGACGCGACTTGTGATGTGGGATGCGGACACTACCTGATGTCATGACGCGGACACACCCTAACACAACTGAAACCTAACGGGCAGCGCGGACGCGACCTGAGTGATGGGCGGGAAACGGGTCAATTCGGGTCGACCCGCGGGTTGTCGAGTCAACCCGAACCCGACCCGCTTTTCAGACGGGTCAGAAATCTGAACCCGGACCCGACCCGTTTTATAAACGGGTTGACCCGAACCCGGATTTTTTCGGGTCGGATCCGGTTCGGGTCCGGATCGGGTCAACTTTTGACACCCACATTAGGATGTATATAAAACCGAATTCCTCTCACAGCCTCATGACCGAATTGAAGAAATTGCTCCCGCGCTCTCTCTCTCTTCAGCTCTTTCTCACATCAACATCGATAGCCTTGCGACCTGCCGTCCTCACTGCTACACAGCAGAGAGTGTAGAACCTGTTTGTGTTCATCGTCGTCACGGACTCACGAATACGACCTGCTAAGTCGTGAGTGCTGACAAGTCATCCTCACACGACATGGCCAGCGACACCGACCACGCACCCGAGTTGCCTGCTGGTATGTCTTCGTTTGGGCTATTCAGTTTAGCACTTCAAATCATATCTTCTTCAATAAAAAGAAAGAGATTAATACCGCAGGTCCGCATGTACTATATATTACTCCTTATAGAGGATTGGGACGTCAAAATCTGCAATCCGGCATAAGAAACAGTGAAGTGAAGTAAGCTCATTGGGATTTCATATTTCAGAACAATGCTCAAATTTTGAGAAGGTATGATTAAGATTCGTCTCGGAGAGTTTTTTTGCTATTTTGATTAAATTTTTATGCTAGAAATCTGCTTTTAAAAACATTAAGAAACCCGTCCAAAAAACATTCTAAATTTATTTATGTTTTCTCGCTGAAACGTTCTCCTGATATAATAAATTGATTTTTTGCTGCAATTTAGATGAAAATCATTTTATCCTTTGAGAATAGCGACTGTGAAAGGATCAGTAGTGATTTATCTATCATTAACCAATAAAAAATATAAAATATAGAGCCCATCTTAGGCTTTGCTTGGAACAGCTTTTTGCTGCTATTTTTTGCTGCTTTCATAAAATTTTGTTTTAAAATGCATTAAGAGAACTGTCCCAAACAAAAATTTACCCTGTTGGTTGAAAGTTAATTGGATCACTTTGTTTTATCCTCATTAGATCTATTACATTGATATATTTTTGTCTGGAGTTTAACATGATTATCTATTTAGATATATATTGTTGCATCCTGTATTATTCATGGCGGTAGAGAAATATAACATTAACTTCTCAACTTTGTACGAAAATCCGACATGCAATCAAATAAGAGAGAGGGTGTAGCATTTATGAGACATCAAGATTTTTACATGGAAAGCTCCTAAAAAAGGAAAAAAACCACGGGGCCTAACTCAGTTTGATTGAATCTACTATTATTTGCAGTCGATTACAAATGAGGCCCTTCCTTGGAGGGAAGGCCTTGGCTTGATGTGCTTCATATGGAGTACATTGCATAGTATGAGTACAAAAAATCACTGTTGATGTGTTTGTTTGGTCAGAAGGATCATAGTATGGAGACGTAAGTCAGAAGAATCGTAGTTGGCGGACTACGGAGGTCATAAAGATCGTTGTCTAGCGACGGAGGTTGGAAGGACTGTAGTCGGTGGGAGACGTAAGTCGAAATGACCGTAGTCGGCAGGTGACGGAGGTCAGAAGGACTATAGTTGGTGGGCGACGTAAGTCAGAAGGACCGTAGTCGACGGGCAACGGAGGTCAGAAGGACTATAGTTGGTGTGCGATGTAAGTCAGAAGGACCGTAGTCGGCGGGAGATGGAGGTCAGAAGAAAGGCGTCAGGTAGAAATCTAGTAATGAGCGGAGGTCCGGTGTCGAGTAGAAGTTCGATGTCATTCGGCGACCGGGGAGAACTCCGGTGTTAGATGGTATTCAGGCAAAACTCCAGAATCACTTGGAGATCGGATAGAACTCTAACATCACTTGAAAGTCGGGCGGAACTCCGGTGTCACTTGAAAGTGGGGCGGAACTCTGGCGTCACTTGAAAGTCGGGCAAAACACCTGCATCACTTGAAAGTCGGGCATAATTCTAGCGTCCCATGGAAGTCGGGAAGAATTTCGGCATCCCATGAAAATCAGGCAGAATTCCGGCATCCCATTGAAGTCGGGCAGAATTCCTGCGTCCCGTGGAAGTCGGGCAGAATCTAGCTCGGGGGTTTTCGAGGAGAAGTTTCTTCCCTCCTATTATTCTTCTCTTCTCCTTATTCTCTTCTTCTTATTGTTTCTTGCTTGGGTCTCCTCTCAAGAGAAATGAGGGGCTATTTATAGTTTTTTGAGAATGGCATGACCCGTAAATAGGAGACAATCAAGGGCAAATGTGGAGTGGTTTGGATGGATGGCTGATATTGAATCCCTTAATCGTGGGCCGTTTGTCAGACATTTAAAGGTCTTAATGATATCGGAATTCAGCAATCCTGGGCTCGTTGGATTCGTCACGTCGAGCCGCTCGATTCGACTATAAGCATGTTTTGTTTGAAAATCGTTTGATAATCCAAATTGTGGTTTGAACCTTCTTAATGTGTTTCGGGTCTTCGATTTGGACCCATTTGGGATTGGATCGAGTTGAATTTGTTGTCGTTGAGTTCATATTTTCGAGATGCTCAGTTCGACTATAAGTTCGCTGAAATCGGAGTTCAGATGATCGCATATTTAATTTTTGAAGTTTCCAAGTTGATTTTTGCCTCGA